GAACGAGACCAGTTCAAGAAATTAGACGTTGAAACATGGGAAAAACAGAACAGTTTGTTTATCAATAATCTCAATTATAATGAACGTATCCAACGTAAAAAGTCAGCGGAGGATCCTGATGCTGCGCAAGCATATAGTACCGTAAAAGACTTTGTCAAAACAGTTCAATCATTGAAACCTGTATCACAGCCAATAGATAGACGGTCGAAAATATTTGATCTTGAAATGCTCGAAAAATATTCGCGCAACGGATCTATTTTTGCTCAACGGTTATTAGAAGCAAAAACTCCTTTTCTACGGGCGCTACAAATTTTGACAAATGCCATTATTGTGGATGATGACAGGGACGCTCACTCCATCACAGAACTATCCGTAAGTGTTAGGATTGGACATATTGTTGTTCAAATGTCAGAAGATCTATGTGATGAAGCAAAACGTGCTGTTGATCGTGTACTTACTCGATGCAAATCAAAACGATCAGAACTGGACGAACAGTGGCAGCATATAATAGATTTCTCAAATATGCACCAATCGATTATCGCAAGATACCCGAAGCATATTACTCAATTGCATCTTGCTACTTTCTGAACAGTGCAGTGGAACATAATGTTGAACTTGTAGAAAAATATTATGAAAAAGGCATCGAGGCCGAAAAACATCAATTACCACTCTTTTTACCGTATGGATCGAATCACAAATTAATGTTATCACAATTATCACAGATTTGTCGAACTTTTCGTCCAGGTTTTGCAGGACACAAGTAACATCTTCGTTTTATTCGATTTGTATGAGCATTAACATTAAGATCTTTTACAATTCCCGAAGGAACTTGATATCCAAGAGATAATAAAGCCAATTTGACCTTCGACATCAGTCGAGATTCTTGACTACGAGGTTGATTTTGTGGAACAGTCAAATCTGTGCTTAATTGTGATAAAAATATACGACGAGTATTAGATTTTCTTTGATTTCATTCTGGTTATTGAGATAACCACAGAGTCATACTATTGATTGCAGCTAAGCCAATCATGTTATAAAAGACAATTAGCGGCCATCGTCGACTAATTCTTTGAACAGAATACGTTCCAACACATTGATCAATAACGTCCACACTGTATTTCGACTGATTGTAATCGTGAATAAGGCATGGTAATTCTTTGTCATCATCGAAAGTTTCAGCATTTTTATGAAGTGAAGATAAAAGTATTATTGGCTTTTTTTTTTCTTTTGCTTGATATGAAACAAGCATGTGTGAATTTGAAAAATAAAACCATGATGAAAATAGTTTTTTTCGACAAACTGTAAGTTCATTCGGCAAAAAAACACGTCGATAATCAACTACACCAATAGAAGTCATCTTCCGGTCTAGCAAAGCCTCCGATAATTTGATATCCGTAAAATAACGATCAAATGTAATGGTACGGCCTTGTTTAACATCATTCGATAATTGATCAACTAAATGAAGAACAACATTACTCGCTAGATTTTTTTGGATTATATTATCTTTTTTTCCAGTATATAAATCAATTGATAATACATATTCACATCACATAATAGCCAAAACTTTAACCCGTATTTAGCAGGTTTGTTTGGCATATACTGTACGAAACAACAACGACCTCGAAAAGCAACTAGCTGTTCATCAACTGTTAAATTTTCACTTGGTACAAAATGTCGAGGAAGTTGTTTGATAAACAGTTCAAATATATATCTGATGGGTGACAAACGATCGGTTTTATCACGATTTTGTCGATCATCAAATCGAAGAAATTGAAGAAATTGCCTAAAACGTTGAAGAGACATTGTACCTCGATACAATGGAGAGCTCTGACTAATGTCCCACAAATCATTGAAAGATTCATAATTATTTCTATGTAAACCAGCTCGAATTACTAATCCGATAAATGATTCTAATTCAACACGATCAATCGGTTTCCATTTACTTGACTTGCTTTTTATTGTATTAAAATCTGTTTTTAGAAAAATTACATCTAAACCAACATTGGTGTCCTGGGATCCACGTGGACCCATATTCGTGTTTTTTCCCTCTTAGATTTATTCATGGTTTTTTATCAGGATATTGTACATCTATCAAAGCCTAGAGATTACAAAAAACAAATGGCTCGAAACAGTAAATAGTTATGTAGTGCGAGACGAAAACCTGTAAAGTGGGTCCAAGCGGACCCCACAACACTAACCGAGGGTTAAGCACTCACAATATTCGATCTTGTTATATGAGCTTGGGCGCAAATTATAGAGAGAATTCTGATTACTTTCGAGCATTCCAACGTTACTAAAGTGCTTTGAACATTCTTCTACAAGAGAAAGAACTCATTTCACTACCGATCTGGCATATGTGTGAGCAATTAGTTGAGATTTGTTCAAAAGAAATGGAGCCAGGTATTAGTTTGATGCTACAATACCAATTACTTTGCACTTGAACATAAAGATTGGAAATGAAATAAAATAGCTGCATCGGGACAAGTTAGCGAACCTTTACGAAGCCTAACATCAGTTATCTGCAGCGAACTTACAAAGACTTTTAAAAGTGCTGCCGTCATCAAAAAGTCAGGAATAAGATCGACGGTAAGCGCTTTTCACCTCCCATCACAAATTTTAACGCATTTAAATTTTTAAAATTTCATCTTTTTTAAATCTGCTGAAGTTAAATGAAGATTTGTCTTCTTACATGCTTAGATACTCCAAGATGTTCTTTACATAAATCTGTTCTCGGGTTTATTCTAGCTACTTTAGTTCACGAAAAAATTCAAAAACAAAAGGAGCCCTATTTTCATTAGAATACCAATGGTATGGGTAGGGAACAAAATTGATCGGAAAGATGAACGGTATGACTTTGATATTGAAATTTTTATTATTTGAGAAAGAGTTTCAATCGTATTTTATTAACTATAGAAGTTATCGATGAAATCGATCTATTGAAGCAGTGATTACTTTTATATCACAGGGAATATCATCATTACTGATTGCAGTCCTATTTATAGCAAAGATAGTCGTCTACACCCTCCACGAGACGGCATTCGAATATTACATTCGACATGATCTTCCCATATTTTGATATCGCACAAATAAATGGGTTTATCTCTTCCCTCAGATTCTTTAAAATTTTAAATAATTTTCTTGGATATCGTATCAGACAAAAAGACGCTCGGAGTTCTTCTCTTTCTACTCCAGCAAGCTTCAAGTCCTTAGCTGTTGTCGTTAACTACTTATTAGGTTTATGCGTACATATTGAAATATTAAACGCAGCTAAGCGGTGCGGCAGAATAAAGGAACTTTCGAGCATTTTGTCTATAATTTCTTTTTTCTTTCAATTTTTTGTTCTGATTCTTTTTTCAAACGATGTGTCGTAAAGTCAAGTATATCTTTTCTTCGGACTATCAGCTGAAATCTTTAGTTCTTTGACAGTTTTCATTCTTTCGTGTTAAATGAATGACTTAGATTCGTTATAGCTATTGTCCTATATGCGTGAATATTTACTCTTAGTCTTACCGAGTATTGATGACGATTTTCGTTCATAACAACTTAGTCTGAAACTAAAATAAATCACATATTCTGAAAGCTCTTGACCAGTTCTACAATTCTGACTTAAAAATAATTGAGAAAAAAACGGAAACTGACAGAAAAAAAAAAGATTTTCTTTCTGCAACTACAACTACTATCCATTTCAAAAAAGAAGAAGCACGGCCATTTCTTTGATAACTTTTTCTAAGAAGCAGCTAAAAAGGTGCGGTTTTCAGTATCGGAAAGCGAAATGTTGGGGTAATATGAAAAACTA